CCCCTGGGACCCCGTGCTGCTGGACGCCACTACCACCAGCCCCCTTCAGCACCCAGGAGGGGATGGGGTAGGAGGGCTCTGCCCTGCTGTCTGGCTCTGCAGAGCATGAGGAGACAACCTTGGGGACACCTTTGGGACCCCTGTGAGCATGAGGACACAGTGTCCCCAGGGTCCCCAAGTGCTCCAGCAGAGCAGGACAATACTGGGACAGGGGTGGCTTTTCCTCTGGACAGCAGAGCCACCTCATGACCCCACTCCCACATAGTACAGTGATGCCCAGCATGGTCATGCTCTGTCCCTACCTCCGGGGATGGGAGCTGGGTGGGGATGCGCCCATCAGTGGTGGCAGTGAGGAGCTGTTCCCCCAGAATGGCCTTGAGCTGCTGGGCCAGGACCTCCTGCTGCTCCATGCTGCAGTGGTTCTCCAGGGACAGGATTACTGGGTAGTCCGAGGTCTGGGGAGCAACATGCACAGCTGGAAATCAGCCTCGGTGGGCTTGGGGAGCTCCCACAAGGGCTTTGCCCAGGCATGGTCTGTGCCAGGAAGGAGCCCACCATGCACCTTTGCATTCCCCTGAGACCTTCACACCCCCCCAGCATCCCACATATCTCATCTCACCCCTGCATCCCCCAGTATCCCCCAGGCCCCATCTCACCCCTGCACCCCCAGTAGACTGTGCCTGCATGAGCCCTGTCCCCTGCCATGGTGCAGGGCTGTGGGTCAGTCCCCCCAGTGCTGTCCCCCAGGAAGGGACACACTCACCCTCCTTGCCCACGGTGGGGTCAGACCTGCTGCAGCACCAGGTGTGTGAGTCCCAGCATTGCTTCCCCTCCAGAGACCCACTGCTGCCCCAAATTGCAGCCACGTTTGTCATGTCCCGTCCCCCCACCTGCCGAGGGCCACCCACAACACCCAGTGCCCAGGGAAGGGTGCCCTACCTTGAAGGCGTACTTCCCCAGGGTGCTCACCACCTCCCGGAAGGGGATCTTGGAGGTGAAGGTGTGGCCATGGTACACCATGGGCTCCCCGTTCGGCCCATCCCAGCAATCCACCTCCAGGCACCGGCAGCCCCGTTTCAGAGCCCTACGGGTGGGTGGTCACCCCTGGGACCCCACACCCGGGCAGGGCACCAGCCCCCTGCCCTCCCTGTAGGTCACCCCTGCAGGGACCAGGGGACAAGTACCAAGAGTGTGCATGCTGCTGCATGCAGGGCAGGAAGAGCTGGGCTCAGCATCCCCAAAATGGACCCCCCTTGCTGGGCATCACAGGGGTGCTGGACCATGGAGGAGGCAAAGGAGCTTCTGGGTTTGCCCCGTGGAGCTGCCTGGGGCACGGCACTGGGGCAGGAGGGTTCTTGGGGGCAGCTGGGAGGGAGCAGCCCCTTTACCTGATGTAGCCCTCGATGCTGCTCTGGCCCCGGAGCTGGTCCTCTATCAGGTAGGTGTTGTGGGAGGAGGAGATGAAGTAGTGGCAGAGCGGCTGGCTCATGTCCTGCCACAGTGCCCGGTGCTGGGGGTTGAAGATGGAGCCCTCCGGGGAGCAGAGGTACATGAGGAACCCATCAGCACTCAGCACGTGGCGAGCCCGGGCTGCAGGTGGAGGAGAAGGCTCAGGGACAGCCGAGGACCCAGAGGGGACAGGATGGGGGCAAACAGGGATGCTGGCAGCTCTTGAGTATCCCCAGCCTGGTGGGCACAGCTGCTGCCAGAGGCTGCAGCACATGGAGAGATGCCCCTGGGCAGTAACTGGGGGAAGGTGGACAGTGGAACCCAAAGCCAGAGCTTGCACCTCACAGCTTGTCAACCTTCTGCACCAAAACAGTCCAGGAATAGACCAAAAAAAGGGGAACTGCGCCCAGATCACACCATGGTGAGTGTTTCCCCCACGCCCACCCACAGCAGGATGGGGCTGGGGGTGCCCCTGCCGTGGGGCTGGGGGTTTCAGCCTCCTCCTTCCCCCTGTGCAGCACACAGCCAGTGTCCGGGCTGGCCCTCACCTGTCTCCGATGGCTCATACTTGTCGATGAGCTCCATGGCCAGCTCCTCCGTGTGCTCAACCTCCAGCTGCTCCTCCCGCAGGAAATCCACCAGCTCCAGCAGTGTCAGCTTCTTGCCATCCTCAGAGAAGTCCTGGAAGAGGCTCAGCACCTCCTCGCGCTGTGTGAGGGCTTTGTAGAAGAGCACAAACTCCTCCCCTTCCAGCGTCCCTGACTCCGACTTGTCAGCAGCCTGCAAGGGACCTCACTCAGCGCCTCGTCGGGGCAAACAGGGTGTCCTGGCCACTCCATGGGGCTGTGGGGGGATTCCCCCACCCCCAGTGGAAAGCACAGAGACTCCACACCAGCAGCAGTGGTAGGCATCGATCAGTGGATGGACAGATGGATGGATGGGCAGATGGATGGATGGGTGGATGGATTGGCAGATGGAAGGCTGGTTGGGTGGACAGATAGATGGATGGGTCCAGGGATGGAGAGATGAACAAACAGTTGGAGGGAGGAAGGGAGGGACAGACAAGCTGGCCGTCTGGCTGGGTTGATGGATAAATAAACAGATGGCCAGTTGGCTGGGTAGACAGGTAAGCAGCTGGGTGCACAAATGAATGGGAGGGAGGAACAGCTGCCTTGGCTGGTTGGGTTGGCAAATGAGTAAACAAACAGGTGTTTGGGTAAACAGGTAGTTGGGTGAACAAATAAATGGATGGATGGATGGATGGATGGACAGAAGAAAGTGACCACATTCTTCTGCAGGGAGGTGTTATGCAGCTTGTTCCAGCCCCTCCAGCCCCTCCCCGGCCCCTCCAGGCCCTCAGGTGTGATGCTTACCTGGAAGAGCCGCAGGGCATGATCCTCGTTCATGTCCACATTCATCATCTTGAGGAGACGCTGCACCTCCTTGAAGTTCATACGCCCATCTTTATTCTTGTCGGCTTTCTGGAACCAGTCACGAATCCATGTGCAAGAAACCAGGGCAGATGTTAAGGGAAAGGACCTTGGCTAAGACAGATGGATCTGGGGAGCATCAGAAGACCTCTTTCCTCTTTCTGTGGGCTCTCCCTGCCCTGATGCAGATGGTGAGACCTAGAAGAGCTAAGCACACCCTGGGGCAAGGCTAGAGATGTGGGGCAGGAGATGGGGGAAGGACTGTGTGTGGAGGGCAGAGTGGTGCCTGCAGGAAGGATATTGGTCTATCTTCTCCCTCTGGTCCATGCTGGTGGCCACCTCGACGAGCTGGCGCAGGCCCTGGACCCAGCACTGTGCCTCCTCCGCCGAGCTGGCAATGAGGTCCAGGTTGCCCCGGCGGCCGTAGAAGACAATGGTGAAGCAGCGCTCGGGGGGAAACTCCTCGGCCAGGCTCTGCAGCACCTCTGACTGGTGCCCTTCCCGCACCGTCTCCACATCGCTGATGGAGACTGGGGCAGAGGGAGGGGAGGCCTGTCTGTGGGGAACAAGGACCGCAGGGCAAGGGGCACTGCCCACAGACATCTGTCCTTCCAGCCATCCCTCCTTCCACTCACCCATCCATCCACTCATGGAGCTATCCATCCATCCATCCACTCATCCAGTCACTGAGCTACTCATCCATCTGTGCCTCTGTTTGCCTGTCTACTCTGCTGGCATGCCAGAGCTTCCACTTGGATCAGCTGCAATTTCTACTGAGCCCTAGTGACCCATGGGTCCTGCTGGGGGCAGGATGCTTCATGGAGAGGTGTGGGTCAGAAGAGCCCACGCACACACACACACAGAGCCTCTCCTGAATGTCCCAGCACCCTTTGCAAGCATGGCTCAAAGAATCTCCATACATTCACATCCCTGTTCACTCTGAACCCTACTGATGGCCCCGCAGACAACATACAGCAGCTGGTACTCACAGGCAGACTCAGTTTTGCCCGTCCTCTTGGACTGGTACCAGATGGTCATGCAGTCCTCCTGCAGCTTGAAGTAACGCTGCTTCTTCCAGCTCTTGGATTTGACTTTGCGCATCAGGGACCCTTGCTGCATCTGCTCCAGCGTCTCTGTGAGCTGGATCCCTGGGGGCAGCGTGATAATTCCCCATTGACCCTTCCCACCCACCCTCAGTGCTGCCAAGCCCGAATCCCAATGGCTGCAGTGGGGTGGGGTTGCTCTAGAGCGTGGCAAGGCGAGCCCAACCCAAGGGCCAGATCGCCCCAGAGTAAATATGGATGGCCCAGTGCCCTGCCCCACACCTCCCCTCCACCGGGGCACTCACGGGCGTTGCACAGCAGCGATGCCATGGCTCTGTCTCCTCCACGCTGGTGGTTGCT